AGGGAGGAGGTGCAACAATGACCTGCACTAGGACCCAGCAGAAGCACAGGGTGCCTGGCTCCTGAGACAGAACCAGGGACAGGGGCAGGGACAGGGGAGGGGCAGGACAGCCAGAGACAGACAGGCTGTGCCTCTGTCCATCACACTTCTCCTGTGTGTATGTTTTCTACTCGAGTGGGTGTGATGTTAAATGAATCGGACCCACACACTCAGTTACGGTACCTCGGAGTTCACAGCCGGGGAGGAGACACCACCAAGACCGCATGGCATAGCACGATGAGGCCCGGGTTGACCGCCCGCCGCACACTGTGCTGGGCAGACTCCCTGCAACCTGTGTCCCCACACATGGCAGGGGGAACCTGGCCATTGACCACGAGTAGGCAGGAACTGGGTCACCCCAGGAGAGGGGCAGTCTGACCACTATGACCTTGGCAGCAGAGGATTTCCCCTGGCTGCAGCACCAGAGCAGCAGACAGAAGAATCAAAACCAGCTGGAATACGCTGAAAAGAGAGAAGCACCCGGCAGGTGGTGGCTGGCTCTGAGGCGGGGGCTCCATGCAGGAGCCCAGGAGAGGCCTGGGGAGACCAGGGCAGCCCCTGCTGATGGTCAGCAAGGAAACAGAGCCTCAGGCCCACACCCCAGGACCTCCTAGTCAGAGCCCAGCCAGCCTGACCTTGATCTCAGCCTTATGAAACCCAAAGCAGAGAACCCGGCGGAGCCTCCTGAACCCCCAACCTAAGACAGGAAGATTGTTAATCTGGTTAAGACACTGATGCCCTGGGCAACACAACGGAAGACACACACCCATATGTGTCCACCCCGACGCAAGCCAGGAGAGCCATCCATACCCAAGAGCACTGAGAGACAAAAAGCTTCAGGCTGCTGGAGACAAAGCCGGTCAGCTTCCCTCCAGACTGGCGGCACCTTTCCTGCTCATTTTACACCTGCAGGAGCCAATGTCCTGGGCCCCTGAGCCTGAACCCCAGGGAAGAGCCCCAGGAACACAGTCCCTAACCTCGTGCACACCCTGGGTGCCAAGGAAGCACCCTGGAGATCCCTGAAATCATCCTGCGGCCACTCTGTTCTAGCAGGTGGTCACGGTTCCGTGAATGTCATGCTGTGGGCCCCCCAAATTCTCTCTCAACGTCCTAATCATTTCTGTTGATATAGCCAAGGTCCCAGAGAGAAGAGGAAGGGAGCCAGCCGACAAGGCCTTGCAGCTCACCTGATGTGCCCACCTTCCCCAAGCACCCCTCCTGGGAGAAGGGGCCTGATGTCACCACCCAGGTGTCTACTTCTGACTCTAGCATTGAAACCCTTCAGGGTGGGTGTGGCCAGTGTGAGGGGCCTCCCTGGCTGTAAGTGAAGCGAGAAAGGCAAGGGAGGGAATTTTACCTCCCCTACTTGTGTTGGGGAGGGAGCCGACCCTCCCATACGCTGGGCAAGCGCTCTGCCACCCACCCAGCCCAGGTAAACCCTTCCAAACCTGGGCTGTGGTTGAGGCCAGGCAGAGTGCCAGCCTCCTGGGTCCCCGAGTGTGCTGAAGCTTCTCCCACAGGGCCACCTGTCGCCCAGGCACGTCCGAGAGACCAGGCAGCCTCTTTCTTCCGATGGAGAAGCACAGGCTCCGAGTTCACAGCCAGGTGCTGTCTTGCTCTTGTTCCTTTGAGCTTTGCCTTAAAAGTGGAAAAGGTGCAGGCAGGTGGGCCTAGGAAGCTGACAAGCACAGAGGCCTGCCGCCCTTGGATCTGCCCTGCTGAGGGGGAACCAGGAGGGACATCGCTGCCAGCAGGTTCCCAAAGAGCCTCTGACTCTCTGTGTGAGATTTGGGTGAGATAGAGGAAGCAGTTTATTCAAGTTGGGAACAAGACTAACGGAGCTTAAGTGGAGATAGGAGGAACCCGAGGTCAACATGTGCAATCCCGGTTACAGGGAAGTTTTGCAACAGATTTGAGTTTGGTTTAATTTGTGGCTTTTGTTTTAATACAGGTTTATTTCACTATGAGCTCCACTTGGAGGATTTTTGTTCAAAGACCAAAGTCACGTGACTTAAAGCCAACTCAAGCAAGGCCCAGAGCTGGACCATGGAGCCTCTGGGACCTTCTCTGTGTTCCCAGCCCCCAAGGACACCTGCCACCGTCGCCCTACCTTCCCAAAGTGTCAGATGCTCATTGTGGGGTGAGACCCACGTCTGCTGTCACCTTGTCCTCTTTTAAAACACCACCTTTTTAAGTGGCCGGTGATTTATAAGCGGTGTAAAGGCCTGCAATCCAGCCTCACCCAGGAGTTCAAAGCCCAGCCTTCAACATTGGATTTCCTGCTCTTCACGAGCCAGCCAGGGTCCCATGGTGCTTGGTGCCAGCTCGGAAAGAATTTAGAGGGCCCAGAGGTAGAGACAGAGCCTTCCAGAGGTGGCCCAGCCTGTGTGATGTCATAAGGCTGCAGGGAGATGGAACTGGAGGAGCAGCCCCTCCCTGAAGAAGTACGAGTTCTCTCCCGCAAGGCCGGAGCCAGGCCTGTCCCTCCTGCAAAGGAGACGCTTGGTGCCCGACCCTGTGACAGCCACAGAAACCCACCTCCCACCCCAGCAGGGGGCTGAAGTCCCCTCCTCCTCTCAGCTGGTGCCTGAGTTAAAGTGCTACCCCTGGGGGTCCCCTGTTGCTCCTCCAGCAAGCACTGGGCATACCCAGCAGTGGCCCCTGCCCCCCAGAGAAGAGAGTTCTCCAGGGAAACTTGGGAAGGCTAAGGACCCTCAGCCCCTGCCACACACAGAGAATTCTGGAAAAGCCCTGGCCCCAGGGAGGACACCCATCAGGTGGAGCTTCTGCCTCCCTGGACCTGGGAGAAGAGCCATGAGGAGGGTCTGCCCCCCTGGACCTGGGAGAAGAGCCATGAGGAGGGTCTGCCCCCCTGGACCTGGGAGAGGAGCCATGAGGAGGTTCTCCTCCCTGGACCTGGGAGAAGAGCCATGAGGAGGGTCTGCCCCCCTGGACCTGGGAGAAGAGCCATGAGGAGGGTCTCCCTCCTGGACCTGGGAGAAGAGCCATGAGGAGGGTCTGCCCCCCTGGACCTGGGAGAAGAGCCATGAGGAGGTTCTCCTCCCTGGACCTGGGAGAAGAGCCATGAGGAGGTTCTCCTCCCTGGACCTGGGAGAAGAACCTTGCAGGAGGGTCTGCCTCCCCTCCAGCAGCACAGCCCAGGGGTCCCTGCCCTCCAAGCCCCTGTGGTTCTGAGAAGATTCCTGTAGAGAAAGAGGGACCCGCACAGAGGGACAAAGCTGCCCACCTTGCGGCTGGTACAAAAGGAGGCAGAGAGACCAGCTCCCACTGGCCCTCTCACAAGGCCCGCCTCCTAGAGGCTGCCCTGCCTCCTAGTAGCACCACTTGGGGATCATGGGTCTTTAAGGACAGTCCACATCCACACTACAGCAAATCCTTACCTCTCAGGACACTGGGCTACACACACCAAGCAAGAGGCAGAAGGCCCAAAGACCACTTCCTGGGCCTGGCTCTCCTGTGGCCCTGTCTCTGTGTGGGCCAAGCCCAGAGAGCGGCTTCCAGGGAAGGGAATAGCAGGACCCACAGATGTCCAGGCTGAAAGAATCTGTGCCTTCCATGGAGAGTGCTCCCTCCCTCCCTTCCTCCCTCCCTTCCTCCTCCCTCCTTCTCCTCCTCACCCATGGAGAGAACTCCTCCTCCTCCCTCCTATCCCCCATCCTTCCTCTCCCTCCCTCCCCCAT